GGGACTCGATCCCACGACCCTGAGATCATGACCTGAGCCGAAGGCAGTCGCTTAACCGACTGAGCCACCCAGGCGCCCCCTCATTCTTTTTCCAGAGAAATGTTTGTTATCTTTTTCTTATTTAAAGTAAAAAATATAAATTCTCATCATGGGGAAAATTGGAAAACTCCAAAAAAATACCAAAGGAAAAGTTAGCTAACGTACCCATTATCACAACACCGATATATTATGACTGTTTGGTGCATTTGCACTTAAAATGTGTATAGGGCATGTTTTCTTTTTGTGGCTTCATTTGGAATGTATGAAAGTCTGCAATGAAAAGAAACAAATTCAAGAAGTGAGAGCCTTGCTAACAAGTTACTGCTAATGATTTTTTAACTGGGCGCTTATGCTTGGAGAAAGAAGAACACTTTTTGCCTGTTGTTCGTTGCTCAATTTATAAAACATCCGTTAAATGTTTAAACATTGGTTATAAGATGGAATTAGTTGAAAAATTTTAGCAGAACTGATATTTTGAACACGTCAGATATACCTTAAGGGCAGATGAAATACCCGGATATATCATTACACGCTAACACACTTAAACCCATTCTGAAAGATCCACACTGCAAGTTTCACTCATTTAATTATTGATGCACTAATTTTGACTCATGCCAGGACTAGAATATATTGACACTTAGCCAGAGTTGACATGATCATAAGGGCACCAAAAACCAAAGACCTTCACACCTGCCCGGGTTATAGACCTGGCTTCTGACCGCTCAGTTGTCAGGCAGAACATGGTCCCAGTTTGGCTTCTTTTTCCCAAGGTGAGTCAGGCCCTGGCTACCAGGCATCAGTCAGACCTTTATAATTTTCAGTATATGGCTTCCAGGTAGGTTTTTATTTTCATTCTGGTCCCCACCCCCAGCCCACCCCGCTTCCCCCAGAAATGATTTACGGCCTAAGTCTCACTTGGCCAGTGTTACATAACCCGTTGTCCTGTCATAATGATGTATTGGCCTGATCTGTTAACATTATTAAAAGCTTATATATGCCTTTTGAATATTTTCGTGAAATTGGTTGGGCGTTCTGGAGGTTTCTCACCCACGAGATGAAGGATTGACTCTACCTACTGTTCTTCGGTAGATTGTTCATTTGGCTGATTTATCATCTCAGACTATGTTTCTGGATCCTCTGTCTGCTTGATGATGATGCGATTGTCAGTGCCAGACCCTCTTCTTCCCTGGATGTTTCTGTCATACACTGTGTGTTCTTCAGGCCTTTCTTATCTTGGGTCACTTCCTTGGTTTTCCATGACACTCTGGCTTGGAGTTCCTGGTTTTTACTCTTTTGGTGTAAGTGTAATATAAATAGTATAAAAATATGTATGGTCCATAGACAGATATAGAAAAAACAAAGCACCTGTATTTTTTTTATTATTATTATTTATTCATTCGAGACACAGAGATACAGAGAGAGAGAGAGAGCATGAGCAGGGGAAGAAGCAGAGGGATGGGGAGAAGCAGGCTCCCCGCCGAGCAGGGAGCCCGATGTGGGCCTCAATCCCAGGACCCTGGGATCATGACCTGAGCCGAAGGCAGACGCTTAACCATCTGAGCCCCCCAGGCGCCCAAAGCACCTGTATTTTAATAATATGTCCCATCTTGCTAAAATCAGTACAAGTAATTATCTGTGTCTTTATTACAATTTCCTTTCTGTACACTTTGTATCATTCTCTTTTGATGATTGTTGTGAACTCCTGGCCTTTCACAGACTTCACCAGGGTTAGTATCTTCTGCTCTGATGGATCGGATTGATTTACTTTGGTCAGTGGGAGCTCTTTGGGACCAGCGCCTTTGTCCTTGTAGCACTGTCCCTGACATTACTGGAAATATCCTTGCTTTGTGGTCACAACAGGATGTTCCAGTCCTATCGTAATTATTTCTGCTTCCAGACATGAAATCAACTCCCCTCCAAGGAATCCTTTACAAGTCATGTGTTCATAATGATTTTTCTCGTTTGATAGATTAGGGTTTTAGATTCTGCTTTTCTTACCATACAAAGTTTCTTGGACCATTAAGACAC